AACTGATCCAACTTATGATCAAAGGCTCAAGTTTGTTCCTGGTATTTCACCATTGCAAAAGTATGCTTTGCAAAACATCATTAAGCTCTGGACAGTCCGTCTTCTGGCAGGTGGAACTGAAGGCATCAGGAGTAACTGAGGGTTGTGTGACCTGTTTAAAACCTAAAATATCTCCAATATATAATGTTATCTATGTAAATGCAATTATTTAGACATTTAAGATACTGCCATCCAGGCTTTGGCATGAAGGGGCTGGACTTCAACTGTAAATTTTAGCCTTTTGTTTTTATAAAGCAAAAAAGCAAACAAAACTGCAAGATCTAAATTAAACTGGAAGTTTTGTTAAAATTAATCTACTCTTTTCTGAGAATCAGTAAGTTACACAGGTACATTATTATATCTATGATACCTGCAGCATCTTTGTGGTATGGAAGCCGTGTTGGCTGGTAGCAACATTAAGAAAACTTGAGCATTTCCTTTCTTTCAAATGCTTCCTCAAAACCCACTTCTTTTGGGGCTCTTTTATGCACATGCAGTGTTAAATGAGTCAACTACATTACATTACTATGTGCTTCTCTCCCTCTCTCTTGCCAATATGTATTGTTCTACAAGTTTAGGCTTTGCTTCTGTAGTGGACTCTGTAGGACAGTGATACCATCTGCATCATCCACTCTTGTAGAATGGATAAATAACACACTTTCTACATCTTCTGTTTCTTCACCCTTCTAGTAATAATTCATCCAATCTTGCTTTTGTAAAAGTGTGTATGTGTTTCAGTAATATTATTTTTTCATCTCTGACAAATATCTTACCCGAGTGAGTTTGTGACCTTAAGTTTCAAATGTGGCAGGGAAGTTTAGGTGTTTTGTTCTGTTCCCCACCCTCCTAAGGATACCTCTGACAAACAATCATTTTCATAGAGTAATGGTTCTTATTCACCTTGGTGAGTCACATGAGTGATCCATAGATTCCCAGTTGCTGTTCATATGTGGAAGTGGCTTTTATGGGAATCTTGTTTTTTCTTTCAATGACCTGTTGCTAATATCAGTTCACTCCTCCAGCTTTTGTTTAACTTGAAGCAAACAGGTATTTTCCTGTCTTCTTTGGATCTCAAAATTCCAAACGAAAAATTCCATTAAAGGATACTGTTGCCAGTGTTGGCAGTTTAACCAGTACAAGTCATTAGCACATAAGAACCTGAAAGACTGTATTGGGCAGACTAACCGGTGGCATAAACCACTTTGTCCAAGCTGAAAGGGTCAAAGCTAAATAATGAACTGTATGCATCATGGAAAGTGCATTTTCAAGCTTTATCTGTCTAGTAGACTGACAGTGACTTTCAACCCAAGAGCATGGGTAAACCTATGAAAGCCTGCCAAAACACAGGGTACTTCATGTTCTCTGTCCCCAGAGTGCAGTGGCAAGTTAGTGGAGGAAACTGGGTCATCAGATTTTGAAAAGGAGGGGATTTGCTTTGAAAAGTATGGGAATCTGTGGAGGTGGCTAACATTGTGAAAGTCCACTTTTGATAAGATCTTCGATTTTACTTTCCATAACACCTATATAGTCTTGAAACACAGTAACACCTGCTGTACTTTATTGCACACAACTGTTCAGTAGGGAGGAATAAATTTCAAAGGAAAGTATTCCATTTTGTCTCTTAAAGATCCAGGTAGCTTTCACGTTTCCTTTTTGTCTTAAATTTCTCCTAGTAAGGTGACATACATTATTTAGTTCTATCCTCATTTCTCAGGTCAAATCAAGCTGTAGTCAACATAAAAATCAGAGCAGGTAGAATATGGGGAAAAAATTCTAATGTCTATGTATAGGACAAGTATAGAAGGTATCTCTGTATACAGTGTATTAATAAAAATATATCTAGTATATCACTTTTAATTCATCAGATCATGATGCTGGTCTGAATCCAGCACAATACAAGACATTTTAAAGGCCATGATAACCTGACTTGACACTGCTAAGGCTGTATTTAATGAAGACCAGTGTAATTACTGCCTTTCTTATGTAGCTTGAGATGTAGCAGCTTCTGCCGGTGGAAGTTCCTTTGGAACAAATTTGCATCTGCCTGGTTGTGCTGTTTATGCTTGTTGGGGTGGTTGCTGTGACCAGCTGGGAACGCTAGTGGACAAGCCTTATTCCAGCAGAGCATATCTGACCCCTTGTTTCCTCCAGTGGACAGAAGTGATATAATTGGTGCAGTTTATATAGTGTCCAAGGACTGACCCATACTGGAGAAATCTTCCAATATGATTAAATAATTGCATAATTTTTTAAATAAATATCCATTTTACTTTCAACCTGGGAAAATGCAAGCTGATATGCTTTGTCAGCTCTACTCAATCTATATCGCTGTCATGAACCTCCCACTGTCACTACTGATGTGTATTGTATTGCTTCTGCAACACCTCACCTACCACCTACAATATTGCCATTATAATTAAAGTAATTCAAAACTAGGGCTCGTTTTGCAAATCCTTGTCATTCAGGTTTTGGTTTTGCAAACCGAACCCCCATTGATTCCAATTTGTATTCCAGGATTTGTAGGCAATAGCAATATACAATATCATCTGCATTCACTGTTAGGATTAGTAAATAATAAGTAGGAATCGGTCACTTTCAGAATGTCTCATTCTTCACCATCACAAAATCAATAAAAATAGGTTAAAAATATGCTGTTCCTTTCTGGTTCATCTAATAGATGCTTGAACAGAATAATCTGTAGCGAGTCAGGTTTTTCTTGTTTGTAAAAACAGAAAACATATGATGCAACCCCAAAAAGCAATTTAACTCCAGCCCAGTAGTGTCAGATTTACCCCTGGAAGAGTTGGGGACAATTTTCTCATGCCTTAAAATGCCTGCCTTGCAAAGCACACACTGCTGTTTCTCATGCTTTCACAAACCTCCTTCTAATTCAAGCTGTGACCATAGTGTAGTTGGCTTCGAGCTTCTATTTCAGACTTCATCTTCTCTTTGTGTGCCGATAGCCCTCAAGCGACAAAATAACATCTGCAAGGAACACTAGGGCAGCTGACCATGCTGGAACCCTCAAGTTGTCAATGAGTGCTCTAACCAGGTTGAAGACTAATTGGGTCCAAAATACAAATAATGTAGAACTAACCATAAAAGTACACCCTGAGATCTACTGGGCTTACAGGTTAAGACATAGATTCTCACACACATCTCCAGTGAGCTGTTCAACTCTGAAAAACTATGTGGTTTTGTATTTCATGGAGCTCGGCTACTAAGCAGTGGCTGTGTGCAGAGCCAGCACATATCCTTGTTTATCTCCGGATCTACAAATGCAAAAAGTAGCCATCCTCAAAGAGCTTCATGCAGTCAGCTCACATCTACTGGAGGTTCTGCAGAGCCAAATTCTCTGCATCATGTTACCTGACTTATCAGAGCACAGAGCCAGAGACAATCCAGCTCAATGTACATCCAATGTGATACAATGAGTACAGAGACACTCTTGAAGCTCTGCCGGAGTTGTCTTAGGTCTAGCAGAACCCAGGCAGGCTCTGTGCAAAATAACAGCACCCTTGTTCTTTACTGTCCATGTAATCCAGGTTTTTCCAGAAGCCACATGATCCTTGCTCCTTATCTCCCTGGCTATTGGAGAATTACCGGCCTGCATGATAATTTTCACATTCTGTTTCCAAGTGAACGCCATTCTTTCTTTGGATATTTAACGAGAAAGAATAATGAAAACACTACCTCACTGTAACCAGCTGAGTTAGTGCTGTTGCTGAAACTGTACTGCTGCCATTTTTATTTGATTTTTTTAATGAGCTTTCCTCCATGATGAAGGTAAGATCATCTTCCTGACTCATCATTCTTGTTGAGACACTCTAGCCAAGCTTCTGCTTTCCTCCATTCATCTGCCCTTTGTCCATCACAGTGAACACAGATTTCTTGTTCCCATCAACTGTAATTCACGTTGCCTATAATATTGTGACATCAATTTGTGCAGCACAAGTGAGGTGAGATACTCACTTCCCTAATTTTTTTCTTCTGTTCCCTGCTTACAGCCTTATTCATAGGGGAAATGCTCTGTCAGAATCCACAGGCCACTCTCTTTTCTTCCCCACAGATCATCCTGTAAGAGTTCCTTCTGCCTTGGTACCTGCAATGCACAGCCAGGCAACCAAAGACTAGAGAGCTGGCAAGTTGAGATGATTCATTACTGTTCAAAGTTATTTGTTATCTCAATCTCTTAACACCACTCTTCCATTTGTTGCATTTTGTATTTTGTCATCCTCCATTGTGAGTTGGGTGGGAAAGATATTGCTTTTGTTGGATAGTTGGAGCACCTTGTTTGTTTGGAGACTCCAGGCACTAGTATTAGATAAGTAATGTGCGATAAAGAAGGCTTGCTAGTGTTGCCATATCATTTATGTTTGACTGTTGAGAGGGAGGAAAGAGGAGAGTTATCTTCAATTATGGAGAGTGGCATAGCTTTTACCTCCCAAAGCAGAAAAAGATGGAGAACACTTTTGTTTGTCTATCCATATAAAATCACATACGTAGGCACCCAAGAAAAAATGGAAGAATTTTGTCATCAGTTTTTGCTTTCACGTCCAGAGAGAACTCAAGAATGCCTAAGATTTGTGTCCCACATTTCCCATAAAAAGGAGGTGTCTTTGTCCTCATTGCAGGGGGAGAAAAAACAAAAAGTTACTTTTCAGAATAAACTATGTCAAAAGGTGTTGTTATGGAAAAAGGAAACTTTTTCCCAAAGCAACTGCTTTGCTATCTTAAGAGCAACAGTATTTGTTAGCATTAGTTATAGCTGGTTTGCATCCTTGCTTTTTCTTGCATTATCCCACATGCACAAGATACAAATAGAAAACCTTCATTAGAACTTAATGTCATATAGTTTAATGACATACTTCTAGCCTGTTCTTTTGTATGTTTTATGTCCTTAGAATTAATAACTTTCACAGTTTAATGAGATTTAAAATTCCCTGTGCTTATTTCTGCAGGCACCCTAGACAAACATGTAGAACTAGAGAAACTTGTGGCCAAGTTCCTTGGTGTGGAAGATGCTATGGTGTTTGGCATGGGCTTTGCAACTAACTCGATGAATATTCCAGCCCTTGTTGGGAAGGTGAGTACTTCCTTAAGGAACACATAGAACAATCACTTATTAATTGTTTTAACAACTGTTGCAGTATTCTGGGCACACATTAAGTGGAAAGGCTTGATCGAGGAACAAAGCTTGGTATCAGGAATGCATGAGTCATTAAGCTGATGACCCCGTGACCTTAACTATGCTCCTTCATCATTTTTTCTAGCTCTGGGTGTTGCTATCACACATACCTAACATCTATTTAAGGATGAGTGATATAGTTGTTTAGCTTCTCTTAATGAAGTTGCTTCTCCCTAAAAAGTAAGGAAATGTTGCATCCCATGTCTCAGGCGTTGTGGGATGAAGTATTTGTGCTACTTGCAGAGATATTGCCCAGCTGCCTGTGGTGAAAGATGATGATTAGAATTTTTTTTACAACACTTTCAGAAAAGAGAAAGTACAGTGTTTAGCATTCATAATGAACAGATCTCCAGCCAGCCCTGCAAAGAAAGCTGGCAGCAAATGCAAGCCTAAAGTTGTGACCATATGACAAAAGTTAGATTCTTATTTGGTGTTGAAGGGACTTCATCTCCAGTTTGGGGTACCTAACACAAAGGCATGAAAATCCATCATCCTGTCAATCACAACTCCTGATACGACGAGCAGATATACTGTGCTGTTAGCTGGGAAAGTGGGTAGTGCCTCTTTAGTTCATGCAAGTGTGAAACAGTACGAAGCGTGTCTTGCAAGTGTGAAACAGTATTTCCCTCTTGGTGGAGGTGGAATGAACTCACTGTGTGGTGTATAATCAAGATTTCTTCTGAAGCACCGGCCTAGAGGTGAAGTCACTTCTTCACTCACTATTGAAGATGAATCCAGCTTTTGCGAGAGATTTCTAAAATACATGTACACAAGGGTTGGGCAGGGAGAATTGCTTCAGCTGCCCAGAACATGAACTTCAATCTGCAACCGTGCTGGAGAAATTGTCCAGCAATTTCAAAGGAAACAGATACAGAGAATTAATAAAGGTAAATTTATGAAATTGCAGACATACATAACAGCATAAGATACTTGTCCCTTGCTTAGCTATAAAATAATTTTCCCTCACTTAGCTGGCCTGATGTGGAGACTCAGGCCTCTGTCAGAGGTGGGATATTTAGATATAAGTGGCATAAATAAAGATATTACTATATGTATTATATAGAATATAACTATAATAATTTAGTATATAT